TCAACCAAAGTACCTAGTCAAAACTATGACTATGAGCGGTTTTGCAAATGGAAGAGTTAACTGGCGTTGGCCTGATAAAGACTATGTGTTAGATTATGATGCCAAAGATATAGTGTAAAAAATAAAACCACCAATTCCATTAAATAAAAGAGGTGTATTTTCTGTACCTGATTTAATCTAGTAAATTTAAGGACTTTAAAGATTATTTACATTTGTTGATGAAATTGTTATTTTTATTTGGTGTTTAAATTTTTTATTTAGAGTTTAAAGTATATATTCAGATAAAGTTTATATTTTCATTAAATAAGAAATATAGTTTAATAAGAAAATTATGTATTAACCCTCTAGCTAATTGTTATATGATCTCATACTTTAAATATATTTTGAATGTTAAGTAATAGATATATTTATGCAGATTTAGGATTGATAATTGAATACATAAATTATATCCTCTTTGTTTCATATTTTTTATTTGATTTATTTTTTCATTCCAGTTTGATTTATTCATATCATTTCCAGTGTTACAATAATTACTGTAATTTTGATACCAGCTTTTATTTCATTTTTGTTTTGGAAGTTTTATAATCACTTATACTGTTCAAATTTCCATGAAAATATAATAAATATGTGTTTAAAATTATATCAAAATATTATTTTTCAATTAACCGTACTTTTCATAACCTACAAATATATTTATCAAGGCATTACGATCAAAAATGTATGCTTCGAGCGCTATCACGGAATAGTGTACAACGACTCCCGGCATTAGGTTCATGAACCAAATTTTATCACGGAATTAGAGACAAACGCGTGGTTCACCAAAATGCCGATTATTTCTATAAATGACGTTCTACGACGAAAAATCATGTTTTATAATAATCTCAAAGGTCTAATTAATAAAATATAACAGATTTAGTTCGTCCACTTGCCTATTTTCTCTAAAATTCGTCTTTAAAGTCAAACGTTTCTTAACATCCCGTAATATGGTACGTTTACCTTAACTGTTTTATAAAATGTAATGTTAATTTTGAGATTCAACAGTTTTCTTTATATAACCGCTTTAAAAACTTATATCAGTGTGGGGCAAAAATGACCAACTGAACATTGACCATGGCTAAAGACTAAAAAAGACTTGGATTGAATTATACCATATTTTTATAGAAAGTGTATGAAACTTCCATTTTGATTGTATTAACAAAATATGGACAAATGGATATTGTTATTACGAATTATATAATTCATTATTATACAAGTAGACTTTGGGGTTTATTGTGTTTATAGTACCTCATTGCCTGTACCATTCAAACAACACATCTTTACACTCCTAAAATAAAGTATTCTTTTTTTAATCCCTAGAAATTGTTTAGAAATACCATACTTAGCAAAACAACGTTTGCCGGATCAGCTAGTAGTTAATAAAATATATTCTTTAGATCTCGAGCACTCTTTAGATGACGTATTTGTGCACTTCATAGCTTACAAATGGGCTAGTGGGGTATAAAAAGTATAAAAATGAACTTGACTTTTTGAAAAAAAAATTATATATATATATATATATATATATATATTTATAAAACTAAAAAAAAAAGAAAATTATAAAATTATTTTAGAAACGCAGTCAACGGATAAACATATGTATGGAACCCATAGAAATTTAAACAAAATTTGTACTTTTAAAATCTCTATAAAATATATGATAATTTTATGTGCATATCTCTAATAAGAGTAGTAAAAGAATCATTACCTCAAAAAACGACAAGACAATGAATGCTAAGAGACAATTATATCCAGTGCTGGATTTACAGTAGGGGCAGTCGGGGCTACTGCCCAGAGCGGCAAATTTTCGGAAAAAATTCTATACAATGTAGTTTTTCTAGAAATAAAAAATGTTATTTTAATAACATTTTTTTATTTCTACAAGAATAATTAAGAGAACATAATACGATCGCAATGCAAAACTTGGGTTCAAATAACCGATTATTAAAATTTATTATTTTGCCTTGTCTCCCTCTCCGAACGTAAATTATCAAATTGATTAATAAGTCATTATCAAATTTGGCAATTTGGCTAATATAAAGATTCGTAAACAAGCTGAAAGTTTAGGAAAAATATGTTCTTCAGATCTCGAGCCCTCTTAAGATGAAGAATTCGTGCACTTCCAAGCTTATAGCGCCGAAAAAAATTAAACTATTGACGCATGGCATTGTGCCTTAAGGCAAATTACTGGAACTTTTCGTACTGAAAATTACATTCTTTAAAGAGCTTTAAAATTTTATATTTTGATTTTTTTTTAAATTATGAACTTTTTGCAAAGCAATCGCGCTGCATAGCTGTTTCAGAGACGAAATATCGAAACTCAATTACCATTATTCAAAACGGCTGGACCTGCCTGTACCAAAAACAAATCAACACGACTCCTCATCAATACAAATCTAATATTTTTTTAATTATTCAAGTCGATTTTGAGAACACGGATCAACCGATTTGAATGATTCAATTCCTATTCATAAGAAGACGTGTTGATTAGTTTTTGGCCAAGGCAGGTCCAACTATTTCGGAGATACGGACCAGAATTCCAAAAATGATAATTCAGTTTTTGGAAACGGAGCGTCCAATATCATTAAAAAAATGTACATTTATTGACAAAATGAAGAACTGCTCCAATTTGTGGGAGGCACGTATAGCGGTTTCGGTGATTCAATAAAAAAAAATGGAAAAGAAGCATTTGGCGGTCAAAAGTAATTATTAGACATATGCCCATCAAATTATCAGATATTTTATAGATATTTTAATGATAAGTAAAAATTTTGTATACATTTATGGGTTCTGTAACATTGTTTATCCGTTAGACTGCGACGCGGCGCTTACACGCTTCTATATTTTGTGTCTGAAGCTGAAGCAGCACGATTGCTTTAAAAAAAGTTCAAAATTTTTAACAAATTTCTAAATATAAAAAAACATAAAATTTTCAAAAAAGTCAATTTTTTTCAAAGTTATCAATTTTTTTTTTTTTTAATTTTCGCTACGAGAAGTTGCAGCATTTTGCCATAAGGCACGATGCCAAGCACCGCTATTTACAGTATGTAATGCGTAATAAATTTTCTGGAATCAAATAGTTATTTTAATTTAAAAAAAAGATATATAAAAACTATTTAACACTAGATATACCAGCCGTTTGTATATACCTATTTCTACCAATACCAGTCAAAATGACTGGTCTCTAAGAAAACATACTTATTGTGATTTAAGTTGAACAAAACTTATTACAGCTGTTAAATAAACTTATAGATATTGTCAAATAGCAAAATATATTAATTTTTAATGGTTTTCACAGTACTTTAGCACAATACTCAATAAAAGTGTCCGGCAGCACCCACTTGCGCGTAAAATTACAGTTACCGACGTGTTTTTAGATTTTAATTTCAATGCCATATGAATAATTGTAAAAATAATATTGGTTATTGCATTTATACCCTTCATGGTATATGTTTCAAGAATTTTCATTACTACAAATTCGCTTAGGGGGGTTGATTCTTCGTCTTTCGCTAAATACGTGCAACCATTTACCATATATTTTGTTTCTACTTCAGATGACAGACATAATTTTATGTAAATTTATAGTTTCTTTGGCATTTACTGGCTAAATATGCTTCTGGCCTTTGTTGGAAAATGTTATTCAACCAAAGTGATATGAGCACCCGGTTTGAAGCAATCTTTGCTATTTACTATAATTTGTTCCAAACCCGGGCTTTTTTTCTATAAATTTGGCCTGAGTATGTGTCTGAAAGCTCTTTGAACTTCTAATCTACCTGCAAAACCTATTTCACTTTACTACAACTCTTGTCCAAATAGTTTCGTCCAAACTAATTTTAGTTTCCTGATTTGATGCATTACTTCCAAATTCGTCTTCAGAATTGGAAGAAAGTGGCTCGCATCGTCTCATACGTTTGTTTGTGATATCTATCCATTTACTAACGTACTTGATCCATCTGTATTGTCTTTATCACGAAATTTTCCCATCTCTACAGTCGATAATAGCACTGCCTTGTGGATTGATTTGTTTATCTAAAAATTCACCGTCACTATCATCATATATTTCAAATCCTAGATCCAAACATTTCGGAGATTCGCTGATTGTATTTTCCAAACAAGCTAAAAAAACATTTTTTCCATTCTTTTTTCGAAGACTGACAGTCGCTATAAAAATAAGTCAAAACCATGGCAATTTTCTCGTTTATAGTTTTTTTTTACTCAAGAATATATTTTTGAAAATTTCTGTGTCCACGCGAATGTTACTTACTTGTGTCAGTGTACAAAAAAAATAAAAATTTATACTTGAAAATCACTTTGAATAAAATTTTATTTAGTGTGTTGAACGAAGCTCGAAACAATTGTTTCGTTGGTAAAAATCTAGTAATACTTCAGCAATCTGCATTTTTACAATGTAAAAAAGAATAAAGAATAAATAATATATATTGTCGTCGATAAGAGAGTAGGCGATAAACGCATACGATCTATGGCTATTGTTATTTCGGTTCTTTTATCAAACATTTTATATAGAAACTTGCACCAGTCATTTTGACTGGTGCTGGTACAAGTAGTAGTAACACAATTTATTTTTGCTACTAATATATATAAAGTAACTTTGAATGCATAAAATGGTTTCTATACTTATAACATAAAACGTCATAACTTAATTTCACAAAACAAATTTTACATATAATGGGAATTTTGAATTGAAAGTGCCCAACCAGTCATTTTGACTGGCGTGGTATATCTAGTGTTAAGTAAAATTTCAGGGATGGGGCGGCATTTGTGTCATTGCCCTGGACGCCAAATTTCTAAATCCGGCCCTGATTATATCAAACTTTAAATCCTAAAACATGCAAACGTACATGCACACATTCTTTGTTTTCTGAAGCGCCAACATTAGTATATTAAGAATTAAGAAATAAATATATACTTTTTTAAATAACCTACTTAGAGTTCAAAATGAATACCTGTTGCCTGGTTGTCATGCCCGCACGAGATATAAATTCAGCAGCAAGTTGCTTTCCATATTCATAACTAGATTCTTCATCGAAGACATCCTTTAAATCAAATGACTTGAATTTTCGCTCCAGTTCTGAGCGAATGTCCGAAATCGTCAAATCCTCTCCCTCGCCGATTCTAGCGAATACCTTTAATAATAATATTAATAAATAGTAGTAAAAATATACTAGAGATCAGTTAACTTATGATCAAGTCAGAAATATATATTCAAATTAACAGGCTCTATAAAATTAGTTAAACTTAGTGTTAACAACTTTTAAATATTCGCGCCAGCATAGATACCAATATTAACAGTCTATGATTTCACTTGTAATATACTTCATATTGTTTTTGTTTGACATGTTTACAAATAAAGAGATATTCGGTCTTACTTAACTAGACTTCGAGGCGAGAACATCAAATCAGAAATAAATAGATCCTGACGTAAGATTAATGGTTGTTATTATTATATATGTATATTATATTAACGTGTGATATGATTTCAGTTAGCCAGAGTTGAGGTATTTAATCTATGTGATGAATACTGAGTGAATGTTAAAGTTAAGCATCTAACATTAGTAACTTCATTTATCACAAAATCGCCAAACATGATACATGCAAATAGTGACAGAACAACTTGAAATTTTGAATTAGATTTATCAAAGAAACAACAAAAAGATTGATCATAACATTGCTAAAAGTTAAAATTTTGAATACTTAATTTATTTTACAGTACTTGGGAAAAAATAATTGTTTTTTTTACGTTCATAATATATTTCCTTAAGAAACTGCAAACTCGTTACAGTGTAAAAATTGTTCATCATTTTCATAAATTGTAATCGATGAACATATATTTCGAAAATTATAAAAATCCAGTTGAACAAAAACAAGCAATATTAATTCGAAAGTATTTTTTGTCGCATGTTGCTACCAGAGATGAATAAAAGAAAAACATAAAGCGTATGTGCGCCTTGCCATACAGAATCAATCAGGTTGGCATTTAAATATTCATTTCATTTTATAAGCCTTTCGATACATCATAATACACAACTTTTCAACATTGCTGACCGAGATATCAGTAAAAATATATTATTATTTGCTTCTTTTTTCAAACGCACACTTTGTTGCGAAATTCTAAACGACATACAATAGTTTATGTTTTTGTTATGTCATTTATATGTCAAATAAGTTACGTATAAACAACATGTGTATAATACTTGAAATGATATTTTATATTTATATATCAGGTTTTGTTAAATATTTTTTAAAGGTATAACTCGGTATAACAAACTCATATATCGGTATGTTGGTAAGCCAATTTTATTTGGTATGTAAATGTCTTACAGGAAGTTGTACACCCTGCCACGCTAAATAAATTTATATTCGAGATATTAATATGTTATGTATGGTATAGTACAATCTGAGGGTATTGTAGGAATCCGTGGTAGAAGAACCACTTCTCCATAAACCTTCCTTGCAGCGCATGTTTAATTTCTGAAGTTCATTGCTTGACAATATTGGCATACTTTATCCATTGCAGCAATTGCAATCTTTGAATGAGCATAATAGTTAATATCTGGTGAATATTCAAAAGCAAGACAAACAAATTGGATAAAATATAGTTAATTATGTCGCCATCTAACGGTGTGCTTTCACAAATAACTAAAATCTGGTACGGGCATTTTTGACCCGCCATTTTAAGCTTTTAATTTTATTATTCATAGTTGTTAATAATATATGTTAAATTTTCATATATATTAAAATATATCTGTGAATAATATATGGCTAAGACAACATCCACGTTTCATTTGAGTTTAGTCATTAAAAATTACAGTCCACGCTTTACAATTAAATATTCGCGAGTTCGTCTAAAGATAAAGCCAAACAAAGCTCTACAACTACATGAATGAAAACCCGGGAACCTAAGAAGCCGCCATTAAAGCTTGGAAGCGTCGCCTGGAGTTCACTGGAATTGGAACAACTGCAACTAAAGATCATAATTGGAAATACAAGTAAGTCCACAATTAGTCTAAAACCATTTCAAAATTGCTTAGTTTTATTGTTTGCAAGGTTTAGTCTTTGTACGGCATACTTTGTCATTGTGGTTATTTAATAAATCGAGATAGGAATTAACATATATATATAATTATAACATATTCCTTTTATATGTCAATATAATTTTCCAATTACATACAAAAACTCCTGATTTAAACAAATTGCGGTAGCAAATTTATATATAAACTATCGTATATTTTACACGTGAGTTTCTTGTACAATTTAAAATGACGGACATTGAGACGCTAAAACAACAAAGGGCTCGATTAATAAAATCCATCGTGCTTATTCAAAATTTTATTAATGACTTTCAAGAAGGAGATAGCAAACACGGCTTAATCTTCAGAAAAAAGAAATTAGTAGAGATTCTTCAAAATTTAGAAGAAAATTAAACAGAATTAGATGTTCGATGTCCAGGAACTTACCCAAAAGAGTATGAGGAGTTATTTGATTTATATTTTGAATTGTCAGCTCAAATCGATGATATTTTAGAAAGTAGTATTAATAAAAATAAACCAAATATAGATTTAAAACATAGACAAGTTCACATCAAACTTCCAGATATAAATCTACCACAGTTTAGTGGAAATTATTCAGAATTGAATTCATTCATAGATATCTACAATTCATTTATACACAACAATGAGCAATTATCAGACGTTCAAAAACTTCATTATTTAAAGGAGACATTATATTCAACAGCATCTGACTTAATAGCAAATCTTTCCATGACCAATGAAAATTACAACACGGTATATAATTTACTGCAAGATAGATATAACAACAAATAACTGATAATTACATCACACCTACAATCACTAAATTATATAAAACCTATCTTAAGAGGATCACATGGGAATCTACAATTATTTTTGAACCAAGCTAGGCAACAAACGCAGTCACTAGCAACTATTCATCAGGACGCAGTTTACTGGGACATAATTTCAGTTTTTCAGCTCACAAATAAATTAGATCACCATATTCGTTTAGCTTGGAGTTTAGCATAGCAAGAAGGAGAGCTGCCAACTGAAATTTTATAAATTTCTTGAAACCAGATCGTGTGCGTTGGAAACAGCAACCAAAACTGGTAAGGTAGAACATCAAATCTGTAAATATAGTGTCTCAAGATAAACAGTATAAACCATGTATATATTGTAAAATAAAAGCTCATAATGTATATAATTGCTTTAAATTTAAGAAACTACCAATAACACAATGGCAGAACATTTTAAGACTTAATCTGCATTGTGAGAAATGTTTAGAACCTGCTCATTTACCAGATGTATGTAAATTCAGTCAGAATTGCAGAATATGTCAGAAGAAACACCACACAATGATGCATGTATATAATGATAATCAGTGGCGTTGTGCTAATATTTTTTTTACCGGAACGCTAAAATTAAAAAACCGGTTCAAAAACCGGTTCTCATGTTTGTACCGGTTCCGTTCGAAAAGAAAAATAAAACAAAAATCATTACAAAACCCATTTTTTGCATATATACGTATGTTTATCACATATAATAAGAACACTTGATAACAATTAGTTAAATTATTAATTATAAATTATAAAATTCACTTATCAAATCATTTTCTGTGTGTAGCGAATTTTTTTTGCATTCTTAATAATCTTCCTATGTTGAAAAATAGTAAGTTCGGGTGGATGCTTTCGGCAAAATATAAGGAATCAGCACAACAAAAGTATGTAGGATTCATTGTGAAGGAACAATTATACGAAGAAACTAATCAGTTTTGGCAGCTTGAAGTAATCAAGAATATATACCCATTGCAGGGCTCAAACAGAATTTGTGAAGACCACTTCATAAGAACTGTTCATCGACATGACAATGAAAAATATGAAGTGAGTTTGCCATTCATCCCAAACAAGAGCAGAGATGTTGGAGATCCACGTAACTCAGTAAAAACAGATTTTATGAATCTAGAGAAAAGATTTAAAATAAATCATAACCAATTTAAATTAAATTCAAAATCTACAGAATTAGAAAATAATAAAATAATTAATAATATTAGGTCTACAAGAGATAGAAAAAGTGATTATTTGAACAACGATAAAAAAACTAAGTTGCAATAAACAATATAACTTAAGCACATCAAATAATAATAATACAAATGAATGTACAGGGTCCGGCAATCAAAGTGTAACCAATTTCAAACCGCTCGCGTAGCTGATGCACGGGTACCAACTGTCAGTAAGTTAGCTAAATGATAATTTGGTCTATTGTTTATAGGCGCACGAAAGTATTTTGTAGACAGTGAACGCGAAAAAAAGAAATCAGTAATGGATTTAAAACGTAACTGTGTGATTACATTATATTTAGCTGGAAAATCACAACCAGCGGTTATTCGAGGGCTCAAACACCTTAAAGTGAATAAAGTTTTCGTTTATCGCACTATAACTCGTTACAATGAAACTGGTAGCAGCATCGCAAAACGTCATGGAGGTAGTCACCAAAAGACTGCAACGTCACATTAGATGGTCAAAAAATTGAGAAAGCGACTCGAGCAAAATCCCCGACGAAGTGCCAATCAAATGACAAAAGAACTTAACATATCTGACCGTAGCATCCGCCGCATACTGAAAAATGATCTCAAGGTCAAGCCTTATAAGATCCAAAAGGCACATGATCTTACGCCGAAGCAACAGCAAGTGAGACTTCAGAGAGCTAAAGAGTTGCTTCGCCTGGCCGAAAGTGATAAATTTCCGAACATTGTGTTTTCCGACGAGAAAATTTTCAAAATTGAGCAATTCGTAAACTCTCAAAACGATAGGGTTTACTTGACTGAACGTTCAGACAAGAATTTGAGCCATCGATTGGCCACCAGGAGGCAACACCCGCCACAGATAATGGTTTGGGCTGCTGGAACCGCAGATAAGCGGTCCCCAATCGTTTTCATCGAGCCTGGCGTCAAGGTAAATGCGCAATATTATCGCGAAAGTATTCCGAAGGTTGCTTTGAAGCCATGGGCAGACGAACATTTCCGTGGCAGACCATGGACGTTTTAACAGGACTCGGCACCGTCTCATAAAGCTCGAGTGAACCAAGAATGGCTAAAAAACAACGTTTCGAACTTCAAA